GCAGACAACCTCACTCCCTGCCCTGGTGCCCATTTTCCCTAATGTCCTGTGATCCCAGAAGAACCAGACCCTTTCCACTGTTTCTGGAATTCATGCTGGGAAATGCAAGTCCCTCCAGTGGGAAGGTTTCTTTGCCTGGACTGACAGACATGGAGCCTGATACTCACTGGGGTGTTTTCTTCATGTCACCAGATGACACTAGCTCTTTGATATAAAAGGGGGAAGACAAAGGGAAGCCACAGACTAGGAAAAAATGTTTGGTAATGACATGTCAGACAAGGGACTTATATCTAGAATTTATAAAATACTCGAGCACCACAACAAGATAAAGGTAAATAACCCAATTGAAAAATGGGCACAGGATATGAACAGACACTTCACCAAAGAAGACACTCAGATGGCCATCAAACACATGAAGAAATGTTAAAAATCCCTAGCTCTAAGAGAGATGCAAATCACAATAACTATGAGAGATCATCTCACCCCAGTAAGAATAGCAAAATTTAACAAAACAGCAAACAGCAAATGCTGGCGAGGTTGCAGAGAAACTGGAACACTTATTCACTGGTGGTAAGAGTGTAAAATGGTGCAACCACTATGGAAGGCTGTATGGCGCTTTCTCAAAAAGTTGCAAATAGAAATACCATTTGACCCATCAATTCCACTACTGGGAATTGATCCTAAAGAAACCATAACCACCACCTAAGCAGATATATGCATACACATGTTTATCACGACTTTGTTCATAATAGCAAATAGTTGAAAACAACCCAAATGCCCATCAACAAATGAATGGATAGAGAAGCTGTGGTATAATTCACACAATGGAATACTCCACTGCATTGAAAAATAAGGAACTCATGAAATATTATGCAAAATGGGTGATTCTGGAGGACATTATGCTGAGTGAAATATCTCAGTCACAAAAGGACAAATATTGATTGCATAGGGTCATTGTTGTAAAACAGGACTGACATCGGGGTTGAGGGAAGACAGAGAAGGAGGGGAGGAATGATGTATACTGCATTGAAACAGATATGCTTAAAAGGCATATATGATTGAGTATTATTGTCATGAAAGGAGTCCAGAATGAAGGCTGCACAGTGGAGTGGACTTGAGGGGAGGGATTGCATAACAATGAAAGAGTTTTTATTTTACTTTTCAAGGAGAAGAGTGAATTGGGGGCGGGGGCAGGGCGAAAAGTGCAACAATGAATTAATGGAAATCCAAAGTCTCTGTAAACTTTCATTAAAATTAATTAAAAAGAAAAAGGCAGGGGGAAGGGAAGCGACAATAAAAATACATCCTATCAGTTAGGATCTTACCACAGAGAAAAGATATGGTAGAAAAAGAAATAAGTATAAAGGGATAGGTGATGATATAACCATATTGCAGTATTTAAGCAAACCACAGTGCCACCAGAAGAGTGCTAGGTGGTTACTTTCAATGTTTTCAGGCAGAATTTATTCGTAAATTCTAGCTATATTGAATTTCTTTGGGGGTTTTTTGCATCCAGTGATGAACTACAAAATAACCAGGTCAGTTTGAATATTGGTGGCATGATATGTAAGGACATGCACTGCTCACCCAACGGTGACACATTTGGTTGCATGCTCCGGCCACTTGGGGGGAAAATGGGCAGTGTCCACCTATGTGGTTTCCAGCCTCTGAAAACCTGCTGGAGGGTCAACTATAAGTCGGTTCCAACTCTACAACAGCGAGTGTTTTGATTGGAGTTTTGCGATCAATCATTGAGTCGATTTGGAACTAATTCATAGCAGAACTTCCAGGGGTTTTCAGAGGCTGTAAATCACACCGGAGGAGATTGCCTCTCTCCTCAGAGCAGCTGGTGGATTTGAACTACAAGAGAGGGATGGCCTTCTTTTTAGCTGAGCAGCTCTCTGTGGAGGGACGTGTTTACCTCTCTGGAGAGAAAGGAAGCCTTAGGCTGGCTTAGCCTTCTGTTTCCCACGCAGCCTAGAGCCAGGGAAGTAATCATCTTGGATAAGGTAAGTGACTCTTTAGTGAAGAACAGTTTGTCCGGGACTGTGGATTGTAAACTCAAGGTTGGGGAGCCTCACTAGTGTCAGACGGCTTGTATACACATCTCCCCCTCGCCTTCCTGACTTCCCACACATACCCCCACTGTGGAGCTGGTACCAGAGAGGCGAGGTAGGAGCCCTGGGAGAGTTTTCTAGCCACCCCTGTTAGAATGGAAAGTCACATTCCATGAGAGGACACGCTGGGCCAGAACTGGCCTGGCTTTGTGAGGGAACAAGGCCAGTGTCAAGTGAGCAGCTTGAACCAGGGTGATTGGTGTCTGACAATGACTGTGAAATTGTGTCTCTCCCCGTTCTGTTTCATGCTGGCACTGAGCAGAGTGTGGGAACTACTGTCTCAATAGTAAGTACAGTATGTCCTCTGAGAGTTGAGGAGAGTGCTCTGGGCCCAGGCCAGGGCCTGCCAGGACAGGCCGGGCAGCGCAGGGCAGGGGGAGCCGGGTGGGTGGGGGGCAGTGAGTGGACCCTCCCTTCCAGCCCCTCCTCAGCCTCATCTCCCAGCAGGACCGGGGGCGGGGGGGGGGGCTCCTTCTGGAGCTCCAGGCTGGACAGGCAGCTGCATGGGCTCAGACCCCTCCTGAGGTGCCTGCACAGAGGACGTCCTGGCCATTTCAGGAAGTTCAGTGGAGCCATGGCTGTTGGCCACAGGCCCATGCTCACGGCTGCCCGCAGCAGGGATGGGCCTGGCTGTGCCTCTAACCCTGGGGGTGAGCCAAGCCCAGGAGGGCATCATTGGCTGTGCTTGGCTCTGAGGAGGACGCCTACTCAGTTTGGATTCTGCCTCTCTTCCGTCTTCTCTCAGTCCTTGTGTCCTGAAACCAGGCCACCCCCTCAGCCAAGCACTCCCCTTCCTTGGTGCTTCATTGCTGTAGATGCCATCAAGTCAGCCCTAACTCAGTGACCCAAGGTGACACCTCGGTGACACACGCCCTGTCCTGAACAGTCACCATCCTCACAGGGGTCGCTATGCCCATGGCCACAGTCATCTTTCCCCTCTTTCATTTCTAGTCCTTGTTTGTATGGTTTTTATTTACTTTTTGTTTTCATTCGTACGTTTGTTTCGTTATTCTTCTTGTTGCTCTTATTGTTGGACTAGACCTCGTTCTTCATCGTAGCCTCTTCCCTTCTCGTTCTCCCTCCTCCCGTCCTCCATTTCTCCTCTCATCCTGCTAATGTTTTACAGGCTTCTTTCTTTCCCCACCTTTCTCTGATTCTCCATCTCTTCTTGGCATTCCCTGCTCTCGTTTCCTTGCTGCAGGCCTTGACGGTTCAGGGATTAATATGTTTGATTGTTACCCCAAAAGGCCAGTGGTTAGAATCCACTGCCAATGGTTTGGATACCCCACCCTGTGGGAGAGAAGTGCAGCGCCCTGCTTCTGTGAGGCTTTACAACCTTGGAAACCTTGTAGGGTGGCTTTACTCTATCGAACCGGGGGTCACTGTGAGTCAAAATCCACCCAGGAGTAGTGGGTTTCGTTTCCTTGTCAGCAGATGGCTCCTTAGCTACATGACTTCCCTTTCTGTTCACATCTCTGCCTCCCTGGTATTTTCTTTGCTCCTTCTCTTGTCCAGCTTCCTCACTCTTTCCCCCCTTTTCAGACTCAGCCTCTTCTCCCCTCATCCCCTATCATTTTGCATCATTCTCTATTTCCTTCTCTCTACTCCCCTGCCTCCTTCTGTGGAAGGGATGGTGGTGGTAGTGGTACAGTCAGGATCTTAAGATGCAAGGAACTGCCATCCGTGTCCCTGTGGATCCTGAGGGACTTGCCTCTGTCCAGGACTGTGCTGCTCCACAAGTCATTTCTTGGGTTGTTATCCCAGAAGTTACTCTGTAAGATTGTCCTTCTCTTCTTCTGCCTTCCTTTAAGATGTTCAGAGCGTGTTGTGGGTGACTCGACAACATAGGAACTTGGCCTTGGGGCTTGAGTCCATGGGTTTCCTGTGCTCTCTTTAGTAGAAGCCTTCCAACCTTCTCCTAATTTGTGGCACAGCTAATTAACCCGTGCCTTTCTGGGCGAAACTGCAAAGGGACTGTCTTTCTGGAAAGTTAAAAATGAGTCGGGAGCCATTAAAGGAAAATTAGGATGATTCATAGGGAACTCTGGTAGCCTAGTGAGTAAGGCATTGCACTGACAACCCAAATATGGGTGATTTGAATCCACCAGCTTAAAGATGGTCAATCTTCTCTCATGCAATGTACATCTTTTGAAAACGTGCTGGAGGGTCAACTAGGAGTCAGTTCTGACTCAACAGCGCTGAGTTAAATTCAGTCTGCTTCATGGTTTCTGGCTCTCCTATCTGTGTTGTCTTCGTGATTTCTATGCCTCTTCTCCCTCTTTTGTAAAACAGGAATAGCCACTCCTCTTTCATTGCATGTTCCCTATGCCTTTGCAAGATTGAAGGGAAGAGCTTATTAAATATGACAGGAGATGGGGATCTGTAGAAGCAAGAGCTTGAGTTTCAGTGTCACACTTCACAGATTATCTGGAGGCCATGCTTGGAGAGGCCTCAAGGCAGATCGATGTCAAGGAAAGTGGGCTGGCTGCTTTCGCTTGCTCTCCCTTTGTTCTCTTGCTCTGTCTTCCTTGGAGAACATGACGGACGGGCCCCAGATGGTCCCCACATGCCCCAAGACCAGTGCTTTGGCTTCCAAGAATAATTGAGTGCAGTTCAAGTTTCAGCAGATTGCAAGGGCTTCCCAGTAGCACTGAGGCCATTATGGAGTGAACCACCAGCCCCCAGAAGGGAACAACAGGGGGCAACAGCTCTAATCTTGCAGGCTGAGAAGCTCTGAACTGGCCAAGCAGAAGGAGCTGACAAGTTGTGAAATCCCCTGGTCCCCATGACCTGGCTTTCTCTGTGTTTTCCTGCCACGTGGTTGAGTCCTGGGGTCGGAAAGAGTCACAAACCCTGTAACTTCCCTTCTGTGTTCTGTCCCAGCCATCACTGAAGCCATTGAGATTCCGCAGTTCATGGGCCGAAGTTACCTGATATACGACAACCCGGACATCCTCAAGAGGTAATGAGCTTCCCAAGGCACCTTCCTTATCTCCCTAGAGGGGAATTTTCATGGATTTATTTTCTTTATTTTTATGTGCCAGAAGATGTAAAAGATTAGTCACTAATCCAGGGATGGAGAGAATAATCATGCAAAATAAATATAGAAACTATATTAAAACAAAAACAAACCTAACTTGAAAAGTACAGCCTTCCAAGCAGCAGTGTTGCAAACCATCACAGCTCTTTTTAGCTAAAGATCTGGGAGGGGGGTACAACCACCAAGAGCTTTCTGAGGTGTAAACTTAGGAAGAACCATGAACTTGACCCACATGAAGGCAAGGCAAGGAGCAGGATTTGCTGGACAAGACAGGTGGTTTCATATTGTCCTGTGGTCAGTCTGCAGTTCTGCCTGGGGCCAACACAAGGGTAAACATGGTCCCCAAATGAATATACCCCACTGGACCTTTACCGAGAAGCCAATTTATTGGTTGTAGTTTGGGTAAAAGTCTACAAAGTATAAATTAATTTTACATTCAACAGTTTATACACATTTGTTTTTGCAATTCCTGCTATGTGACTTCTCCTCCCTCCTCTCTATGTGCCCTGTATCTTCCTCCCCTTTTCCTGTTCCTTCCCACCTCCTCGGCTTTGCTTTGGGAAGAATGTTGCCCTCTTGGTCTCCCATGATTAATTGTTCAAAGAAGTAAGTTTCTTCTGGGTCTTCCTGTTCCCCTTACAAGCCCATGGGCTATTTGGCCAAAGGTGTTTCTCTGGAGTTGGGCTCAGTCAGGTTTGAAGGTTGTCTTAGGGTCATTGGCTCAGTTGTTTCACCAGTCTCTACCAGACCAGTTAGTTGGTCTTTCTTTTGATGTTGAATGGACAGTCCCCTCCTGTTGCAATATGTAGCCTCAGACGTTTGTTTCCCCAATTAACTGATTTCATCTCCTTGTCAAAAAACAGTTGACCATAGGTCAAGCTGATTTCTGGGTTCTCAGTTCTATTCTGTTGATCTATGTGTCTGTCACTGTACCAGTACCACACTGTCTTGACCACCATGGCTGTGTAATAGAATTTGAGATCAGGGAATGAGATGCCTCCTACCTGGTTTCTCTTTTTCAGGAGTGCTTTGCTTATTCAAGGTCTCTTTCCATTCCAGATGAATTTTAAAAATGCCTTTCCATCTCATTGAAGAATGGAATTGGTATTTTTATTGGGATTGCACTGAACTTGTAGATTCCCTTTGGTAGAATTTTCATTTTCACAATATTCAGTCTTCATGTCCATGAGCATGGTATAGTCTTCCATTTCTCCAGGTCTCTTTTTGTTTCTTACAGTAATTTTTTAAAATTTTCTTTGAGTAAGTCTTTTGTGTTTCTAGTTAAATTTACTCCTAAGTATTTAATCTTGTGATTAGCTATTGTGAAGGGCATTGTTTTTCTTAGCTTCAGTTCTGTATTCTCTTGTCACTGTAGAGAAATCCAATTGGTATGTTGATCTTGTATCCTTCCACTTTGCTGAATTGGTCAACTATGTCTAGTAGTTTTTTTGTTGAGTCTTTACAGTTTTCTAAGTATGCTATCATATTATCTGCATATAAAGATCATTTTACCTCCTTTTTGCAAAATTGGATACCCCTTATTTCCTTCTCTTGTCTTACTGCTATCGCTAAGACTTCCAATACTATATTGAATAGGAGAGGTGATAGTGGACATCCTTGCCTAGTTCCTGTTTTCAAAAGGAATGCCTTTAATCTCTGTCCTTTGAGAATGATGTTGTCTCTTGGGTTTGCGTATGTACTTTTTACTATGTTGAGAAAATCCCCCTGTATTCCTATTTTGTGGAGTATTTTAATCAGGAAAGTGTGTTGTATTTTGTCAAAGGCCTCTTCTGTATCAATAGGATCATGTGGTTCTTGTTCTTTGCTTTGTTAATGTGATGAATTACATTGATTGTTTTTCTTATGCTGAACCATCCTTGCATACCTGTATGAATCCCACTTGGTCATGGTGACTTATTTTTTTGGATGTACTGTTAGATTCTATTGGCTAGAATTTTATTGAGGATCTTTACATCTATGTTCATGAGGGATAATGACTTATGTGTTTGAATTTTTTACAAGGAACAAAAAGTGGTTACAAGAAATGGCCCTGAGGCACTCTATGTCCCTGGTAACTCCACAAGCACACTAGTTGCTTAATTTCTCTAATCCAGGTTGTGTTTTTATGTATGGTTCTGACAAGGGGCCAGGACAAATGTATTTCCAGATAGAAAGTGGTCTTCCTTCTTCACATTACCCCCTCTCCCCAAAGATAGAAATGTATCAAATTACCAGCAGGCAGTAACTGTGTGAATGAGGGTCAAGTCTCAGTGCTGGTGTTCGGTGAGAGGTTACCAGATGTTTTGGGGAGATGAGAGGGTCAAGATGGGAGTAGAGGGTGTGAGGCTATATAATAGAGCCACTCCACTGGTACTTGTGCTTGTGGGAGGAGAGTGAGGGAGGTGTGTGTGTGTGTGTGTGTGTGTGTGTGAGAGAAAAGTGCAAGTCAAGTCCAAAGTATATTTTACTCTAATGCAAGTTACAGAAAACTCAGCCCAAAATGTATTAAATGTGAAGTGTATTTGTTATTTTGTATAAGAAAGAGTCCAAAGTTAGATTGATTACTGGCTTCATTAATCCAGTGAATCTACCTTATGGCCTAGTGGCAAGAATTTGTGCTACAATCCTGAGAGCATGTGGTTCGAATCTGCCAGCTGCTTCACAGCAGAAGGATAGGCAATCTCCTCCCGTGCAATTAACTGCCTCTTAAAACCCGCTGGGCCATCAGCTATGGGTCAGTTCTGACTCTACGGTACTTAACAACAACATACTCTTCAGAGGCCACACCCATTATGATATAAGACCCAATAAGATGGTTATTTATGAAACAGTTGCTATTGAGTCAATTACAACTCATAGCAAACCCCTCTATTTCAGAGTATGACTTCTCTGAAACAGAGTTTTCAATAGCTGTAATGCTTCAAAAGTACATTACGAGGTCAATCTGCCAGCACAACTTGAGAAATGCCAAGGGAGTTCTCTTTTTAGTCTACAACTCCAGTTCTTTACATAATCTGTTATAATACTTTGCTCTGTCTTCCTGATTTGCTCTTTTAAATCTTCTGTTTGTATCTTTTAGTCTGCATTTCCTCCCTTTGTTTTGGCTTCTTGTACAATTTTGAGAGTGTTTTCTATCATCAGATTTGGTCTTTTCTTGCTCTTCCATCTCTATACTTTCTTAGTGACAGAAATCAGGCTGGACATAGAATGGCTGAATTTTGTATGTACAATGATTTATTCATCACAAATATCTTTTATTAAAAAATGAAACAGAAAGCACACATGGACTTCACTTGATGGACTGCATAGATACATCTGTGGAAAGAGTTGTTGGAGAAGCTCCACAGCAGCAGTCAAAACCAGGCCAGGTGCTGACTGTGGAACAAACCATCAATTGTTCTTGTGCAAGTTCAAATTGAAGTTTAAGTAAATTAAAACAAGTCTGCAAGAACCAAATACAAGTTTGAGTCTATCTTTTTGTGAAGTAGACAAACTGCTTTCAGTAACAACAAAGGGTTTGAGCCCAGCAGAGATGATGAGGATGGTGCAGGCATGGGCAGTGTTTGTTCAGTTGCATATAATGTTGTTAGAAGGCAGAACTGACTCACCAGCCCCTAAAACAACTGTTGGAGAGTGAGGAGCAGTTTTCCAAGGACCAATTGAATGGTAAGACAGGAGAGAGAAAAGACTGGGTGGCTATGGGGGTTATAGCCTCAAAAGGCTTCAGTGTATTCAGGGAGGACGACATTGCTGCAGAGGGAGCTAACCAGACTCTCAGACCCAGGGCAGGACTCAGAGCAGAGATGCCCTTTCTAATCCTTTCACATTCACGCCAAAACCAAGCTCACTGTCATTGAATCAGTTCCAACTCTCAGCACCCCTCCATCAGGTTTCTGACACTGTAAGTCTTCTAGAAGGAGACTGTATATCGTTCCTCTGATGAGCAACTGGTGAGTCAGAACTGACATTTCAGTTAGCAGTGCACATGTAACAACCCAGGGCCAGAGTCTGCTGACCCCTCGCTGCTCATGGCTGGCTGACACTGGGACTGTAGATGGCACTGGGAACTGGTTAATCCAGTGGATTCTTTTTCATTTGCTTCAGGATGTCTGGATCAAGATCAAATGTGTTCATGAGGTTCAAGACGACTGCCAAGGATGGCCTGCTGCTGTGGAGGGGAGACAGCCCCATGCGGCCCAACAGTGACTTCCTTTCCCTGGGCCTTCGGGATGGAGCTCTGGTGTTCAGGTAACTCGATCTCTGGCTGCTTTCAGCTTCACTTTCAAGTTTTTCAGATAGTGCAGATCATACCACTGGCTGTGATTCACCTGGATTCCCAAGGGATAAAACTCACTATCAGCCCAAGGCTGGTTCCCATGAGGTGGGTACCAGACATAGTTCCTCTCTCCAGCTTCCTCCCCCATGGCAGTCCACTTTCCTACGGGGTTCAGTAATTTATTGCAATAGCCACACAGAATGTACAACATACTGAGAGTTATATGGTTTATTAGGCAAATACTGGGCTGCTACTTGGGATCTACTTGAGAGTAAAATGATAAAACTCAGGGACAAGAGAGTTCTTCAATCAAGACCACTTTCTAGCATTAGTGACCATGGCAGGAACATGGAAACAGCCTAAATGTCTAACCATAACCAATTATAGCACATTCACATGACGGAATACTACATAGCACTCAGGAGCAATGATTTTGTAAATCACTGCCTAAATTGGGAGAGACTGGAGAACATTATGCTAAGTGAACTAACTCAGTCCCGTAAGGACAAATACTGTGTAAGAAGACCATTGCTGTAGAACATGTATGAGGATCCAATGGGGGAAGGGAGGAACAGAGTGGTGAGGATGGACTGGGGAGAGTTTGTTAATCATAGGGTTGCACAATTTTATGGGTGTAGGGAAGGGTAGATAAAGGAAATGGGAAAGATACGATGTGAAAAACAATGTATATGAGCTTTCTAAGTAAATCAGGATAAAATAAACATTTTATTAAAACAAGAAAAAAAAAAAGAAAGCTTCCAACCTAAATAGCTTTCAGCTCTTTGCCCATGCCTTGACAGTCCAGCCCCTCTAGGACTCTGCCTTGCTTAAGCAGATGTTCTAACTCTTTAGTCTCTGCCCATAAGTACCCAGAGGCACCTCACTGTGCCAGCAAGCACGCTGCCTGACGGTGCTCCACTGTCTCTCATCACATCGATCCCCTTCTGGGGCTCTTTCTGAAACCACAGTTTCTCTGACCCTGGGCTCTCTCTTGCATTTTACTATCTTGTACCATTTCTCATTATCACGGACTGTGTTATTATTACATCTATCTCTTCTGGGTTGAGGAAGTTCTTAGCACAGAGACCCTGGATTCAAAAAAATGTGCTCCATTCCAGATTCTTCTTGATAGTATAGTGAAGTTCTCTCTCAAGCTCTTTGGGACTGGCCCTTATAATGTGGCAGAATGCCCAAACTGACCAATCTCTGACCTGAATTCTAAGTCAGTCAAATCTATTGAGTAGCTTTGTGCACCACTATTAGCATAGCAAATCCTTGCAAAGATTGTAAAACAGAACAATCACAAGGCAAACTGTAAAACAAAACCAAACACTTTTGGTGGAATTATTGCAATTGCAATTCTGGAAAGGAACATGTAGTAGAAACCTATTCCACTGCAGTGGTTTAAAAGTGACCGAGAACATAGTTAGCTGGGATTGAAGGGAGTCTCAAGCTCCATGTTTATTTGGGGCTCCTGCTCGTTCTTTCCAGCACTCATCTTTGTATGCAGGAATCAATAAACTATTAATATATAACCTGGGTGTCAAAGATGGCCAGTCACTAATTTTTATAAATAAAGTTTTATTAGTACACAGTCACCTATTTGTGTATTACCTATTGCAGCTTCCATGCTACAATGGCACAATAGAGATCATACTGCCTGCAAACCTTAAAACTTATATTATCTGGCCCTTTACATAAAAAAGCTTATAATTCCTGTTCTAGTCTTTTACTGCTGCATGTTCCCAACTTGCCAGTCAGACTTTCTGCATAGCATGGGTGCCATTGGCCTCTAGTGAAACCAATTGCCATTGAGTCGATTCTAACACACTGAAGCCCATGTGTCACAGAGTAAAACTATACTCCATGATTTTATCAAGGCTGTGACCTTTGGGAAGGAGAAAGCCAGGTCCTTCTTCTGACGTGCTGATGGTTAGGTTTAAACCACCAGTCCTTTTGTTAGTTAGTAGTTGAATGTTTAACTATTTTCAGTACCCAGGTCCTACTTAGTGATCCCTCTCAACTCAGAAGTCACCAGTGCAGGAATCTTTCATTCAAGATCTGAAGTCCTGACATTGCATAGGGAAAACCTGTTGTTAAGGACTTATCCAAGGTGCTAAGGACCAGGTATGCCAGTTTAAAGACTAAGGTGCATCTGATTCAAACTGTGTACTTTTCATTTACTCTCTACTCATTTGGAAGTTGGAGGATGACTAAGGATGACAAAAGAACAATTGATGCCTCTGAGTTGTGGTGTTGAAGAAGAGTACTAACTATCCAATGAACTTCTAAAAAGAAACAAATAAGTATGTCTTGGAGAAAGTGCAACCAGGGTGCTCCTTAGAGGCAAGGATGGTGAAGCATTGTCTCACATACTTTGGAAAGGTTGTTTGGAGGGAACAGTCTTTTAAAAAGACCCTACCTTTCCAGCAAGAGAGAGGAAGACCCTCAATAAAATGGTTCAGCACCTCAATAAGATGGTTCAACACAGTGACTGTAGCAATGGGCTGGAGTCAATGAGGGGCGGCACAGGATAGCATGCGGTTTCAGATCTGTTGTTCATCGGATCGCTGAGTCATAGTTGGCTCGATGGTACCTAACAACAGCAGCACTCAAATAGGGAGCTCTGGTGGGATCATAGTCCATAGCACGTTGCTTGGTTGACCTAAAGGCCCCCTGCTTCTGGTGGTTCATATCTACCAACCACTCGGAAGAAAAAGATGCGAAGTCTCCTCAGGTCAAGAATTACAGCCTCAGATGTGAAGGAAGGTCGCTAGGAGTCAGAATCAGCTTGACACTTTGAGTTAGATTTGAACACTAACTGGTGTAGCAAAAGATTGTGTGTCCCCAGCAGTTCTAATTGACCCATGCCTAACAGGAGAACGAGAGGCAGCATTCACTAAACCAGACCCACAACCCACTGCCATTAAGTCCATCTGGACTCAGGGAAGACAACTCTTCTTTCTCCAGTTGAACAGCTGATGGATTCAAACTGCTAACCTTCCCGGTAGCAGCCCAACATAAAATGCACTCCGCTACTGGGGTTCCTTAGAATTCTTGAGGTGATCAGAGTGAACATAAATTGAAAGAGACAAAGGAGAAGGAGAACAGATGGGTGGAAGAGGGTAGAGACTTCTTTCAGGGCATCTGTCAGTCACGTGGTGGGAGAAGCTTTGCTATATTACTTTGTACAGTGCCTCTTGACTCAGAGGAACTTGATGTGTGCTGAGTAGAAATATTCCATAAGGTTTTCAAGGCTGTCACCATTTGGAAGCACATCATCAGGCCCATGTTTTATAGCATCCTGTTGTTCTTGTTGTTGTTGTTGTTGTTGTTGTTGTTGGTCTTGTTAAGTGCCATCAAGTTGCCTGTGACTCTCAGTGATAAATGGCTGACTTTTCACCTTTAACATTTACACCACGCAGATACACGCATTGCCATGGGTTCAATCAGTCCTGACTCCCAGTACCCTGATAGCAACCTATAGTTAGAGTGTGGTAACCCAAATCTTTGAACAGACGGCATTTGAGAGGCAAGCCATTTCTCCAACCTCCAGTTTTCCTCCATAAGGCAGCGCGTGTAAAGGGATGCACTCCACCTAGCTTGGAAACTTCTGCGACAGGGATGTGATGGGAGGCCAGAGGCTGGCAAGCAAAAGGCAGCTTTTCATCCCCCAACTTCTCTCCCCCGTTGGCCCATACATCAAACTCGGAGCTCCTCTCACCCTGCTTTTGGGCTGGCTGCCGAAGCCATTTTCTTGTGGTTTTCCTGTGGTTAACCTCGCAGAGGCCTCAAGTGTGCCCAGAAAAGGGAACTCACACAGCCATCCAGCCACGGTGGGAGTCCAGCGCCCCACGCTCTCCTGCATGCCAGCTGAGGCCTAATCACCAGGCAGCCCAGCAGGCGGGAAATTGGATCGCTCTGGGGCCCCCTGAGGCTGTCGCTCCTGCTTGGCAAGCCCCCCACCACCCCCGACTACTGGCACCTTCGAACAGTCCCGCTGCATCCAGACAGATTGGTTATGTTCTTGCTTTCTTGGGCTTTCACAATCCACCCTGTGTGCTCATTCAAAGCCCAGCATTCGGGTTGTGTTCAATGGAAAAAATCTCTCTATCTAGTTCAGACCCAGCAGAGCATCAGTTCTATTCCCAGGTAGTGACCCCAGTGTTTCTGCTTCATCGTCCTTCCAGGGTGGTGGCTTCCTCGCCCACATCCATTCACTCCAAACAGACACAAGGGCTGGGGAGAGAGGGGGCTCAGGGCATGGGTCATGGGCTGGTGGTTTCAAATGTCAGCAGACTGACAGGTCATCTGGAGAGCTCAAAAAAGGTAGCTTTCTGTGGTCTGGATGGAGGCCAGAATCTGGCCGGAACTACAGCACTGTAGTCCTGACCTGGGGTCAGCAACTCGCCTCAAGTGACAAATGCGTGGACCTGTAATCAGACAGGCTTGACCTCTGTGGCTGTGTGGTCTCAAGAAAGTCACACAGCCCCTCAGAGCCTCCTTTCCAAGGAAAGATTAGTGGTAAGGATTAAACACGTTAATATATTTAAAGTATTCAGAACAGTGCCTGCTATGGCTAATTACTGCGTTGTTGCATACCATCAAGTCAGAACTGATCCATAGCTGACCTTCTGGTGGGTTTTCAGAAGCAGATAATGACACAGGAGGAAACTTGATCCCCTGAAGCAGCTGGTGGATTTGAACAGCATGCCTTTGGGATTGCAGCACAGCTTCTCACCAACAGGTCACCAGAGCTCCCCTAGTTAATGATTTGTGTTATTCATAATCAAAATTATTATCCTGGACTGAGAGTTCTGTATCTTCTAGAAGCTCTAGGAAGTTCTGGTGGCATAGTCTATACACAGTAGGAAGTTGCATGCTATCTCAAAGGCTGTGCTTCTCTGACAATTCAAAGCCACCATTTAGAAGGAAAAAGATGGGCAGTCTCCTCATATGTGATTTAGTCTCA